GCTGCTGGCTATGAGGAAAATCTATGAGGAAGCTCCTTTCCCTTTTGTTCAGTGAAGATGCATTTTTTTTTAAAGCTCAGATTAGGAGTATCCATCTCTTTGTCTTAAAGTTACAGTATGTTAGGCAGAGATAAATTTGTGGTAATTTTCAATAAAATGCAAGATAGGGAGGAAAAAGCTCCACCCATACAAGGCTTTGCTAGACCTAACAGTTCAGCCCGAGCTCAAGCAATGTCAGCCTTTGCACATGAACAGGTTCCCAGGTCATTTACTGTATGCCATAAATGTGCACGTAGCTTTAGCTGTCTTTTCTCCAGTAACGGGTATTGTATTTTAGGGTATTTCAGCTCAAAAATTAGGGAACTTGCACATTGTCAGGTATTGCTTAGGATAAGTAAAAATGTAAATTTTACCATGTAAAATACAATGTTACTTCATGGCAAGATCAGTTGGAGCTACCTGTGTTCTTATAAGTGTGTCTCACTGACTGACACTGAGACCAAGACAACTACAGCACAGTTCCAGGAAGAAATCTATATGCCATAGACAGAATTATTTGTTTATGTTTACTAGCAAAGTTAAGATACTCTTATATTGGAAAGTCATACGACATTTTTTGTAAAATAGATAGAAGAAAATAAGTGTTACCCATATTAAGTGATTAATAATCATCCATCCATCCATCCATTCATTCAACAGATACTTGCTGAGTATGTACTAGGACCCAGACAGTGTTCTAGATATTGTGGCACAGCGGTAAATAAGAGACAAGGTTCCTTTTCTCATGGAGGTTGCATTTAACAAAACGAGCAAGACAAACAAAAACAAGCAAGAAAGGACTCAATGATAAATAGTGATGAATGACAGAGCCTTCTGATGTAATAGCAATTTTTTGAGGCATGAACACTCCAGCTAAAACTTGCATGACAAGAAGGAACCTATAATCTGAGAATCTGGGGAAAGAGTGCTCCCCCTACAGGGAAGAAAAGGTGTGGACAGTGGGGAAGGCACTTGGTGTGGGAGAGGAACCCAAAGAAAGGCAGTGCCTTTGGACTTCCTCAAGGGACTGAGGAACAGGAGAAGGAGTAGAGAGGGGATCAGGTGCCAAATTTTGAGGCACATTGATAACAAAAGATGGAATAGAATATGAACTAGAAGGAACATTGGAATCAGATGATATAAAAATATAAGGCAGGGAATTTTGGAAAAATTCAACTTGCCCCAGGCATGATTTTCATCTGGATCTTACTAGTATTTAGAACTGTTTCTGAGGAAGGCAATCTGCAATGCCATTCTTTACTTGTCTTGAAATGAAGAATAAGACACTACTGGCTCTTTTAAGAATCTTATGTCACCATAGTGTCTATAACTTGCAACTTTTTCCTTGATTGCCAACATAATACATCTTTATGAAAGAATATTTGTAAAATTCAGATAAGCTAAAAGAAGAAAAAAATCACTCCAAATCCAGCCACCCAAGAATAACTACTGTTAACATTTGGGCACAGACTCTGCTATGGTCTGAATATGTGTCTCCCCCAAATTCATTTGTTGAAATTTAACCCCACCAAGGTGATATTAATGGTATTAAGAGGTGGGGCCTTGGGAGGTGATTAGGTCATGGGGTCAGAGCTTTCATGAGTGGGATTAGTGCCCATATAAAAGAGGTCTGAGGGAGTCTGTTAGCCTCATTTGCTCTTATGCCGTGTGGGGACACAGCAAGGAGGGGCCATCTATGAGGAATGGGCCCTTGCCAGACACCCGTTGGTGCCTCCATCTTGTATTTTTCAGCCTGCAGAACTGTGAGCAATACATTTCTATTGTTTATAAATTACCCATCTAAGGTCATTTTGTAATAGCAGCTTGAATGAACTAAGACAGACTCTGTGTGTTTATATAGTGCAGTGGTTCAGAATACACACTCTGGAGTCTGGGTGAGAATCGTGGCTTTGCAACATGCTTAATATTGGGTAATTCACTTTCAAATCTATCTTAATTGCTTATGAAAGCCAAATAACTGTCTGCAATGTCTTTGAGCTCAGATTTCTCATCTGCAAAATGGGAATAGTCATATTACCTTCTTCATAGGACTGCTGTGAGGATTAAGTGAGATAATCCATGTAATGATCCTGACTTAGTAACTGCTTCATAGTACATTCTTTAACCTGTTACCTATTATGCTATTACCATTTTACAAAGCTAGAATCATACTGTAAAACTGTAAACTATAAACTATTATTTCAACCATCAGTAAACATTTTTACATGATCTTAAATATTTCTCCACAATGTTATTTTTAATAGTTTATAGCATTTTGCTATAAGGCTATAATATAATTCAGTTAAACTCTCTATTATGGGACACTTAGGCTTTTTCCAAATTTTCACTATTTAAAAAAATCCTACAGATAAAATATTGCAAACTTTCATGATTACTTCTCTAGCATAAATTTTAAGAAGTGGCTGGGTCAATGGGCATGAAGACTCTTTGATGCATATTATTATATCTTCTACTGTGGATTTAGAAAGTACCCTGGATAAGAATAACATCTGGAAATAAATAGTCCATATATGTGTAAAGTTTTGGAGGCATGATGTACTATCAGCTGAGTGTAAATCCTTTACCTCCTTTCTCCCTGACATACACACTTTTCTTTCTACACCTGTTCACACCTTCTGGTTGGCATCATCTCCCCTCATTCCTCATGGAAGATTTTTGGCACCAGGCTTCTGGTTAAGCAAATTTACTTACGATTTTCAATTTGCTGGGAATTTTGTACTTAACCATTCTTTTCACTCAAAGTAATAATCTCATAGGGTTTTAGTATTATATATTAGAAATCCAAGTCCTACAACTTATAGATAATATGAAATTAAGGTAGAGAGAAGTGATTTATTTGCCCAAGTTGGTCCTCTGGACCATGCTATTGTTAGACAGATAATTACAGCTGGCTCATTTTTTTATTTTTAGGACCTATTCAGCAGTCAGTACATGTAGGCAGCCAGTTTGCTGCAAGAATAACTATTTGAAATAACTTATAACCTCCTAGGATTTTGTAGCAGGAAAGGACCATAGAGGTGGGGAAACTGAGGTCTAGATTGGTTAATGAGATGTATGTTGTTATGTAGCTATTAGTGACAAGTTGGAATAACAACTCAGGTCCCAGGACAGACAAGAAGCCAGAAGGTGTGGCTTGCTGGGGTGAGGTGGACATCACGTAGAGAAGGGATTGAACTAATTCTGCCTTGCTCCAGAGAGGGCAAAACCAAGACCAAGCAAACCTGGAAGTTGCTGGTAGCTAATTTCAGCATAATGTAAGAAAGAACATTTTGATAATCAGTACCGTCTAAGACTGAAATGGGTTTTCTTGAGAAGGAGTTGTTCCTAATTGGAAGTGTTCAAACAGAAACAGGGTAATAATTTGTCAAGTATTTTAAGAGAAAACAATGTTTAGTTTATGTGTCTGGTAGGGATAGATGACTTCTAAGATTTTTACCAAAAGTAAGATTAGATAATTTTGTGAATATATATTTTGGCAGATAGATTTTTTTCCTTGTTGATCTGTTACTTTCTAATTAAAAGTTTTTGAATATGAATTCATTATCTTTCTCATTATAAATGGGAGCAGATAAATTTTAATGTCTTTACTGACCCAAGACTCTATGGTTCTAAATCATATTTTTAGCACTAATTCAGTGTGCTATACACAGTAGGAGTTCAAAAGATAAATTTAAATTAGCTCTTAAGTTTGGAAACCCTATATTTAAAATAAATTGAGCTATAGGCTCCATGCATTTGAACAATTTGATTGAACTCAGCTGGTCTCAACCAAATATATCAGTTGATCATGCTCAAGAGCTCTAAATATTCATTAGCTTTTTTTTTAATTAAAAAAGGTTAAAATTAAAGAAGAAATTTGAGTAAATTATATTGTGGTGAGATAAAAGTGCTCTCTTATTGGGTTTCTGAATGATGATAGGAAATTATGGCTGGAATTCTTTCCCAGAATAGAAAGAATCCTTTTAATATTAAACTGAAAATATGATTTTATTATATTTCAAGTATAGAATTCTGAAAGATCACCCATAGTGTAATCATTTCATCCAAATTCTAGGAAGACAAGCCACATAAATGAACCATATTCCAAGAATGCTTTCAATTTTCAAGATTTCTTATCAGTAATAGAAACAGAGGTTCTAACAAGTTCATACTTGAGTTTGGTGAAAAGCTCTACTCTCAAATAGCAATCTAGCAAAGCTTTGATGAGTATTGGAGATAGCATCTAAGATGCACTCTCTGTGATTCTAGCCAGGAAGGGAAGTGGATAGAAAATAGCAAAAGCTGCTTTTTGTTTGTTGGGTTATTTGGGGGTGGGGGCTTCTCTTCCTTCGTTTCTCCCTCCCCCCAATACCCCCTACTCTTCTCTCTTTCTATCTCTCTCTTATTAGGAGGCTAAATATCCATGTTCTAATCAAGTATTTCATTTGAATTATCAACGTTTTGGAAACTTTTAATAATAAAATTGGCTCAAGATGGGCTAATCATTAGCTAGAATATCTCAGCCATAGCCTTTTACCACCAGTTAGGAGAATACGTGATATCCCAGGGACAGCAAGATCTTTTCTGTTTCAGACATTACGCTAGATGCTAGAGAGAGAAAAATGCCAGGCATGAACCTTGGCCTCACAGAGGCATAGCAAGTACATGGCATTGGTTCACCATGGAATCTAGACTAGACTTGGAGTTATTTCTGACCCAGCACTCCAGACAGTTATTGCTAATTTGTCACAGAATTGGCATAAGAGGTGACATCTATTCATTATCTCGGTGGGAAATCAAATGTTCTCTGTTAACAAGTCTATTTCTGACAGTCAAAATCATGGTTATTTCATATCTATAAGTTAAGATCCATTTTATTTGTATCCTGCTGAAATCTGAGTTTTTTTGAATGCCACTCTCAGAAGCATGACACAGAAAAAGCTAATTTTGAAAAAAGTTACCTCCACTGCTGCTTTTGCTCTTTCAAATTCTTCTTCTAAGGAGTGGTTTCTAGAAAGTAATGCACTTCCCCAACGATGTTCTTTGGTCAGTCGAGCCTGAAATAGACCAAACACATGCTGTTATGATATCAGAATCACAGGATACAAAAATACATGTATTTTTTCTTTTCTTGTCTCACTTTCCTAGAGTTTAAGAGTCATCTGTAATCGATGACATTTTTGGAGTACTTTGCAGGCATGATGTTGCCTAAATTGGGATGGTGTCAAAATGTGTGTGAGCCTGTACCCATGATTCTTCCAACAACGAGTCTCAGCCCTGACAGATTAAAACCAATCCTCTGGCTGTACTTCCCAAAGATCCTATTTTAATTGGTCTGGATTTCAGGTATCGATATTTTAGTAACCTTCCCCAAATGATTCTGGTCCAGCTAAGATATATAATCTTCTTGAGAAGGCTAGATCTAGAAACTGACATTCAAGCTTTCAGCTCATTAGGAGGATCAGTCTCAGGTAAAAATGTAAAAGCTGCAGAGATGGACCTGTGGCTTCCAGGGCTTTTTCCTTAAGTATGCAGAAGACACTTATGCAGAATTCTCTTTCTTTGACCTTCCCTCTATTGACACTGTCTTGTGTCCCAATTCTCAGGGTATTTCTCTCCGTTAAATAATAATGAGTCACTTAGATAAAATTGTATCAGTTAAGGCCAACTGCTTTGCCACAATTAACAGGCAATGCGATACACAACTTAGCTAAATGCAAATATTCTCAGAATATTCCCCCAGCCAAAATGTCTGCTGTAATTTAAAAAATGTTATTAATTTTTAATTTCACAAAAATGAAAACATTCTTTTTGAAAAAAATTAATCATGGAAAATAAGAGATGCACCATTAGACCTTTTTCTTTGCAGTTACATACACATTTATGCACCCAGAATCATGTGTACAGTAATACGTTTCAAAAAAATTGAAACATAAATGGTATGCCATTCTGCAATTTGCTTTTTTCCCACTTAACAATGTATCTTGGCAAGTTTCCACATTTAGTATGTGTAGATGTACCTCATTCTTTTCCTAAGAGATCTCCTAGGAAGGAAATTGCTGTAGTTTGATCAGACCGCTCTCCATGGACATTCAAGTCATTTCCAATATAATTATTTGTTTTCTTGTTTGTCTCCCTGCTCTACTGTGGGATCCATCAGGGTAGGGATTTTGACTGGTAACTTTTGTGTTCCTAGCACAGGGCCTGACAAGTGATGAGTGTCCACATACGCCTAAGGGCTGCAGGATGAGAGATTACACTAAGGAGACAGCCGGGCCTTGGGGAGTGGCAGAAGAGGGGCTTGTGGAGTGATTCTCCCCACCCTTTTTTATTGCAGGGTGTGGGTGGGGTGAGGTGGGGGACTTCTTGGCCCATGTGTTAGGTTGCTCTATAGCAGGAATGCTCAACCCTGCCTTCCATAGCGGAATTACTTGAACAGGCCCCAGCCCAAACCAATTAAATAAGAATCGCTGGGGGTGGGGCCTGGACGTTTGATGTTTGAAAACCTCCTCTGATGATGTTGAAAAGCAGTCATGTTTGAGAACCACTGTTTCCAACTTTCCTCTTCACACGGCACTTGCCATCTACACAGCTTAGCTTCTTTTCATTCATTCTCCACCATCACTGGTGCTGAAGAGGCCTCTCCTCTTTTGTTATGACACAATAGTCCTACCAGGGCTCACTACATGGCAGACAGTGCTCTAAGTGCTGTAGATACTCTAACTCATTTTGTTCTTTCCACAAACCCTTGAGGTAGGGATTATCATAGACTCCATTTTCAAGATAACGACATTGAGGCACAGAGAATTTAATTAACTTGCTCCAAGTCACCCAGCTAGTAAGTGGCAGGGCTGGTGCTTCAGGGCCATGCTCAGAACCACTGCTCATACTGTCTCTCATGAGAGACTGTGCTTACTTGGCCATTTTAGGAAGATGCAAAACTGAGAAAAGCTGCTGCCAGGGTGTTCACGCATGGGTAAGGAGTCAGCCAAGAAATCCTAAGAATACTGTGGACTGAAACCAATAACGAAGTAATCATGATCAACACTTCTGACCATAAACAACAGTCTTAGGCTGTGTTTTGCTTTGATGAATGTGGAAGGTTAATTTATTAAAACATTAATTTATGTTTGCTCCCCACTGTTGTGAATACTCCTATATCCTCAGTATTTCCTGGCACACAGTAGGAATTCCATAAATCGTCAATAAATATTTATTGAAAATATGCTGTCAGTGAATGAGCTGAAGGTATTTTCTCTCCTTACCCCCGGAAAGTGTTCTCAGTTAAGGTTTACTGGCCAATCCAGGAGGTTAAAGGGGAGCTTACAGGAGATTGAGAGGGTACCTGTGTTTTGTCCTGGACCTGGAGTGGCAGAGGTCTGCGCTAGCACAGCCCTGTTGCCCTGGCTTGGGGGAGCGGGATGGCTGCTGGATGCCCTGTGGGCAGTGCAGGGCTGAGGCTACTGCAGTGGTGCCTGTGGTCGGAAGAAGGAAGGGTGGTGGGGCACCTCTGGGCCTGCCTGGCATCAGCCTCATTGCTGGGTGGGCCAGGCTCACCGTCACCATGAACAAGTGGTCTCCCTTGTTCTCTGTGCCCCATGAAAGCTATTACCTCCACCCAACCAGAAACTGACACAGGGAAGGGAACCGAAAACATAAGTGAGATTGACTATCACATCATCCTGGCAAGCAGGGATTTAAAGGCAGATTAAAAACAAGTAATAAAAATAATTAGGATATTTCTTGTACTCCAGGATTGTGATAGCAAATTCATATTCACTGCAGAAGCAAAAGAACTTTTAATTACCCTGGCTTTAGTCTAAAATATGAAGTTTTTGTTTGAAACCAAGAATATCATATTTAGTTTCAGAGTAAACAGTCAATTCAGAATCTCCTAGAATTGAATTAACAATATTCAAATGGATTTTTTCTCACTAGGCTGGAGAGATAAATGCCAATAGGTTGCTATAAATCATAAGAAAGTTATGAGAGTTATATTTTATAAACGATGCTACACACCTTTATTTATATCTTGTAATAGCATAAACTAATGTGACTTTTGGATTATGGCTGAATATTTTTGTTCAGAAATTATATGGTACCTGGGATTAATATACTGAAAAGAACATAAAAACCTTCTATAGTTTAAAAAAGGATTGGTTAGTTCAGTTATAAGCTGAATATTTGTTAACTGGTCACTCTCCCCACTTATGTTCTAATTTTGATTCAGATTGTGAAATATGCAGTTGTTTTTGTTCCTAACCTATGCATATTACATTTCTCAATTGACACTATTTTATCTCTGACAATGACAAGCCTTTAAAAGCACATGATTCTCCTCTGTTGGGGAATGTTGCTGTGGTCCTGCTGGAAGGAGGCTGGCAAGGATGGCTTCTTTGGGTTCCCATTTAATCACCAGAGATGAAAGAAAGCAAAGGTTAATAAAAGAGACAATTGTGTCCAAGTGGGAAAAATGGGCTCTCGCAGGAATGGGTGCCTCTACCTGCCACCTCACCACCTGTCATCAGGTGGTGTGTGATCACTTGCACTGCCCTTGCAGTGATTTCTTCTGGGCTCTCTCTCTGCAGAAGGCAGCATCTCACATGCAGAGAGGATTTACCACTGGCACCCCCTTACCACTGGCTTGTGACTGAGCATCATCTCCCAATGTACTATTTTCTGAGTGCTTTACTGCATACTTGTAAGTTTTCAATAAGAATGCAAAAAATTTTGATGGAGAACAGCTTTCTAATCATTTGGTAGGAGGTATCTGAGGAATCCAGCAGGTCTTGCGAAAGAAAAATGCATCCTCAGCTTTGAAAAAGGCAAAGTAAAGTTGCTTTGTTTCTTGCTATCATGCGGGAGCATTTTCTATTAAGTCAGCTTGCCCCTTGTGTTAGTTCCCTAGGGCTGCTGTAACAAATTACCACGAAGTTGGTGGTGACTTAAAACAACCGAAATTTATTCTTTTGATGTTCTGGAGGCTAGAATCCAAAATCAAGGTGTTGCTAAGGCCACGCTCCCTCTGTAGGCTCTAGGGAGAATCTTCTCCATGCCTCTTCAAGTTCCTAGTGATTTCAGGCTTTCCTTGGTTTATGGCTGCATCACTCTATATTGCTTCCTCTCTTCTCTCTCAAAACCCCAAACCTCCTCTGCCTCACTCTTTTTTTTTTGGACAGTGTCTCTCTCTGTTGCCTGGGCTAGAGTGCCATGGTGTCAGCCTAGCTTACAGCAACCTTAAACTCCTGGGCTCAAGGGATCCTCTTGCTTCAGCCTCCTGAGTAGCTGGGACTACAGGCGTGTGCTACCATGCCCAGCTAATTTTTTCTATTTTTAGTTGCTTAACTAATTTTTTTTTTCTATTTTTTAGTAGAGAAGGGGTCTTGCTCTTGCTCAGGCTGGTTTCAAACTCCTGAGTTCAAGCAATCCTCCCATCTCGGCCTCCCAGAGTGCTAGGATTACAGGCATGAGCCACTGAGCCCGACCTTCTGCCTTATTCTTATAAGGTACATGTGGTTGCTTTTAGGGCCCACTGAGCTAGTTAAGGAAAATCTCCCTCTCTTAAATCTAACTTTCTCATGTCTTTGGCCACATATAGTAATATTTATAGGTTCTGGGGATTAAGATGTGGACATGTTCAGTCTACTATAACCCTCATCTGACACTCTTGGGTCACAATATATTTGATTAACAAATTTAAATAAACATAAAAGTGCAGATGATTTGCAACCTTTTAAGACTGATAGGTTGTTAGGACGTTATAGTCTGGAAGACATGTTAACTCCAAAGGGGATATGATCTTATTGTCTTATAGAAAATTAACAAATCTTGTATTTAACTTGGCAAACTTATTTTGGCATTTCTTTCCCAATTGACTATATAAAGCTCTGTTCCTCAATGCTTTGATTTGGGAAACAAATCTTTTGTCTTTCTGCTGGTTCCTTCATTAATAAAATAAATTTTTAAAATGTGGACAAATGGTAAGAAATAAACTTTGTGAGAAATTGAAGAAGATGCAAATAAATGAAAAGATATTACCTGCTCATGAATTGAAAGA